GATAGAGGTTCGAACCCCTGGTCAAAACCCTCAGACTAAAGTCGTATCCTTCAGGCGGGAGTTGACCTTCAGCCGCTCCATTAAGACCTTCCGCAGGTTTGGAGTGCCATCTCCACTCGCCTTCTAACGTCCGGTGAAGCTGTAAAGGCCATCTGCGGCCAACAGCATTAGAGTAATCCGAAAACAAAAAAAACATTTTTATAATAAACCATAATATACGAGTGTAGTGTTTTCGTTTATTTATTTTAGGACCTTGTGGTTGACATGTTTTAAATATCAAACTCACTGACGATAATCCGGATGGAAAATTGTCTATTGACATGAACAGCATCGCTTCATCAGCTGTGTACTGTGTTATTTTGTAGGACTTAAGAGGCCTTTCACATTTTTTGGCCTAAAAGCAGTGTCTTTGGGGTTCTGGTTCTAAGAAATTAAGAGTCGGATATACATTTTGATTCCTGAATTATATAGATAGATATCTAATCTTAAAAACAACATCTTTGAAATGTTAATTTTCTCTTTGTTAGTCTTCCTAATTTCTAAAATAGTTTATTCAAAAACGCTAAATGACAGAAGTTTGGGGTCGTCGTTCATTAATAAACAAACATAAATTGATATGATATCTTTACTAAAACTTGATAATTACTTTATAAATTGAGACAGCATCGTCCTTTTTTTCATTTTCAACTTAAATATCTAAAAAATTGATCATAATTAAACCCGAAATTTCAACAAAACTTTGCCATAATCATTTCTAATTTTCTCATAAATACAACGAAATTTTTGCATAAAAAAAACATAATAACAAAGTTAATATACTTGTAAATTAGAAATATGAAAAAAAAATATAAGTTTCTAAGAAAAAAATAAACAATAATAATAATTTAAAGTTGTATAAATTCCGTTGCGCCAAAAGTAAATTCTCAGTGCTGCGCTAGCGCTCGTCGAGGTAGGACCTATGCCATTTTTTACAACACCGCTAAGATAAGACATTCGTCAGTGAACATTAGTATAGAGCGACTAAACAATTTTGATAATTTAAGTAATATTTAATTAATTTTGCTAATATATACTTATTTCTACGAATATTAATTTAAAGTTGTTGTTAAATATATATATATATAATATTTATTTTAGCATGCCAAGACAAAAGTACAGTTATGCTACAAATAAAACCTACTCACTAATGGCAATTAATTGTTAAAATTAAAAAAGAGAACATTTTAGTATTTTTTAAAATAACGCTTATCTGAGAGAAAAATGTAAGAAAATGTAAACCAATTTTACTCTATTTTTATATTGTAGTTTTTTTCTAAATTAAAATAGGGTTATTGTTTATAAAAATACCATTATTATTTTTACGTACATTTGTCTTGTGTTATATAGTGTATATCATCTAGTATGCAATGTGGATTGTAAATAAATTACCAAATTATATATAAATTATATTCCTTAATGTTTAGAGATATTTTATCCAATTTTATTTTATTTTACACAATACAGATATTTCTAAATTGCAGCTATTCTGTTATTATACTCGTTGGATTTTCATTACTGTACAGTTATGTCAAATAATTATGCGTGTTTGGGTGAAAAGTCAACAACTTTATAAATGTTTTTATTTAGAGACTAGCTTTTAGCTCGCGTGAATATTGGATATATAGGTTATCGCGCGTTTAAAGATCCGTGTACAGTATTGGGACGTTATATATAAACCTTCCTCTTGAGTCTATCTATTCTGTCTATTAAATAACAACGAATCAAAATTCGTAGTTTTTTAAGATCAAAACATACATAAAAATATATATTTTAACCGGAAATTGAAGCCGTTAAAATGGTATTGGCAGATCAGTTGGAATCATCGGTATTCTTGGTATATAAACTGGTTGCCCAGCTAACGTACCGGTTATAATGGTCTACAATTAAATTTCTTTCAATTCTTTAGTAAGCAATATATCCAATGGGACGCCATTGCACATGTTCGGCGGGCTTAAATTTCATGACTGGATCATGCTTTTGAGAAATTCCTTCCTCAAGTTTGAGCAGTTAGTGTGGAAAATCACTATCTGTGCTTCCATAAAAATGAGCTTTCAAATTTGTCAGTAGTTTTAAACTTTCAATTAAAGTCCATAAGGGAGACGATGTTAATGACACAGAGAGTCTTTCAGAAATCTCCAGCAAAAGTATAAAAGTAATCCCGCCAATGAGAGCAATGTTTCTAATGTTCTAGAAATAGAAATAGAAATATAATTTTATTCAAATAAACTCATTACAAGCACTTTTGAATAGTCATATTTTGATTCTACCACTCATTCGGAATGCAGATTCATCACAAGAAGAATGAGCAAGAAACTTGTGTGTTGCTCTTTTTAATAGATGTTTTTTTTATATAAATAATTACAGTGTAACAAGTAAGAGGCATGCGACAATCAACATAGAAATCGCTACGCACTCATTATTAGTGTAATCAGATAATATTGTCAGTGCTATGTATTTAAAATTTTTCTACAAAAACATTATCGTTAACGAATTCTTCAATTTTATAGTAAGCTTTTTTGCAAAGGAAGTGTTTTATTTGACATTTAAATCTTTTTTCTGGCAGATTTATAACAGACTCTGGTATTTTATTGTAAAATACGCAATTGCCATAAAACGAATTACTAACTTTAGCCAAACGACATTTAGGTAAAATCAGTTTGTTATTGTTACGTAAGCTTTTATTAGTGCAATCACTAACTCTTTTGAAACTGTCTATATTCTTCCTGGCATACATGATATTTTCATAAATATATTGAGAAGCAACGGTGAGGATATTTGATTCCTTAAAGCACTCTCGCAAAGACTCCCTGGAACCCATGCTATAAATGGAGCGAATGGCCCTCTTTTGTAAAATAAATATTGTATTTATATCAGCTGCTTTGCCCCATAACAAAATACCATACGACATAATGCTATGGAAATAGCTTCCGCAGGTTTAGTTGCCACGTCTGTTAATTGTCTAATTCTTCTTACCGCATAAGCGGCAGAACTAAGTCCATCTCGCTAATTTAGTAATATGGGCACCCCATTGCAGCTTGGAATCTAATGTGATATAGAAAACAAAAAATCTCTATAGCTCATGGTAATTTCATTACATATAATCAATGAGGCGTCTTGTAATAATTTATAAAAAGGTTTGACATTAACAATTAATTATTTATCAAGAATCAAGAATCGGCCAACCAAGAACGAGAAGCTGCAATATCAGCCAATATCATGCGGCGACGTCAATGATGCAGGAACAGCAATGATAGCAGTTGAAGCTTTTTTTACAACTTAGAATGGCAAACAAGCTGACGGCTCTCCTGATGGAAAGGGTTTGATAATTAAGATAAATCACGTTATTTAAAAAAATCCAATAAGTAGTTTATGTTATGTTACTCAGTTAAGTAGAAACATCACATTATTAATTAAAATATTACAAGGATCAAAATGGTTCATACTAAATCCACACCGATTGCGCTCCACGTTTATTTGCGTCTGTGTGCGTGTATTACTGTATGTGTGCGTAAATCCATGCGATTAAACCTAAAGTTGAGCGGCATCATTTTGTAATAGGCCTCTTAATAAGAAGAGATAATGTTTGTTTGTTCAGTTTAATATCGGGTTCTGCTGATCCGATTTTATTCCTAAAATCGGATCACTGTTAGAAAGTTATTTTATTCCCCAATATATATATTATGGCAGTATATATATTGTACTATATTATATCAATATTGAAGCTTATTTGTTAAGCAAACAATTTTTTTAAATTACCATTATTAATTTTGAATGTTGCCATTATGTTACTGCTCGCGTTGATTGCTCGTTCCGTTCGCGGTAAAGTTAACCGTAATTTTGTTTCGGGGGACCATAGGCGGCGAGGGAAATCAGGTCCGGCCGCGGGTGTTTATTATTCATGGCCGGTGCCCCGCGGATTTCATTATGTACGCGCGGATGTGTCACCTTCACCTTGTTAGATGGCAACACTGATGCCATTTAAACTTTTTTATACTTCGTTTATTAGCCGGTAAGTTTGAAGTTATGCAATTGTGAATTTTATGGTTATGTTTTGTGAGTACAAATTGCAGTGTGCAGTGGCTGCAATTTGTTTGTACGACTGTTTTTATGGCTCTAGTAATCTAAATATATATAACTGAAAGGTGACTGACTGACATAGTGATCTGACGCACAGCCTAAACCACTGGACGGATCGGGCTGAAATTTGGCATGCAGGTAGATGTCATGACGTAAGCATGCGCTAAGAAAGGATTTTGATTAATTCTTCCAAGGGGATAAAATAGGGGATGAAAGTTTGTATGAAACTTTGATAATTTTAAACCGATCGGGCTGAGACTTAAATAAAGCTACTATGACGTAGGCATCTCCTAAGAAAGGATTTTGATAAATTCCACCCCTAAAGGAATAAAATAGGGGATGAAAGTTTGTATAAATCTTCTTAGATTTTCGACTGATTTAACTGAAACATTCCTCTGCCGATTATTATTTATTACATTTTAGTTATCCTTACTCCTTACTAATATTATAAATGCGAAAGTAACTCTGTCTGTCTGTCTGTCTCGCTTTCACGCCAAAACTACTGCACTGATTGAAATAAAATTTGGTATACAGATAGTCTAGACCCTGAGAAAGGATGTAGGCAACTTTTTAATGCGAAGAAATGGTTGTAAAGGGTTGTAAGGGTAGATGAAACGTTTTATGGAGGTATTGTCATTTTTAAAGCTAAAAGCTTGAATCTTATTTTGTAAGCTTTTGACTATCAATCTGACATTCAAAGTTTGTACGATTTTTACCCTTAAAGTAAAATAAATAGGGGATGAAATGGAAATTTCTCATTCGTCCTCTATTCCTTGCGAACAAAGTCGCGGGTACAGCTAGTTATATTATACTTTTTAAGGTTTTTTATTTTAGGTTAATAATGTTAATTTGTTTCGAAAATGAGCATGTCGATATTTTCACAGTCATGGATTCCACATGGGAGGTCCGGGTGCAGTCAAGTCATGGTGTGGCCGGGGGTGCAGCATTGCTGACGTGCTCGGTGCCAGCAGTGGTGCGAGGTCACGTCACCGTCACCAGGTGGTTCAAGGATGGAGCGGAACTGGCTCCAATGGCAGCTGAAGCCGGTAAGTTGCAATAATGTCTTACTTACTGAAAGCTGCAAATCACATTTCAAAACATTAAAAATCCTTACTGTACCCTGAATTATATTTTGGAAACATGCAAATTTGTAAGAGAGTACCCAATCTTCAAAACATTGAGTGAAATACCCCGCCGTTATGAATCACGTCACAAAAACGATTTAGTACAACCCGTATCGAAATTAAAAATACATAGTTCTGGTCCCTATTCCATCAAGTAAATAATTAGTTTATTAGCATACAACGTTATAATTTTATTTTCTCATTGCTTTCTTGATTTAATTAATTGATTTTAGAAATATGAAAGCGCAGCGGTTGTTGTATTGATTGCCGCATGCATTCTTATGTAAAATGTGAATACTATAACTATCAGATGGCAATTGTGAGTAGCTTTGACGTGGTCTAGTGTTTTGAGTAGTCATGCTCACTAAAATGTCCAGACTTGTGGCGGCGTGGTGGGCCGGGTCATTGGGCTCCCTAAAATATGGTCGAGCGCAGTGATGGCTGGCTCATCCGTCATACTCGTGAACGGGTGCTGCTTGTAGGGACTGGTTTGCTCTAATCACTATGACTGATTTCCTCTTATTAATTGTTTAACCAGTTGGTTATATATTCAATATTTTTCTATTTGAGTATTTAATAGAATTAGTGCTAATTGGTGGTTTGTATTCACACACCTAAACTTAAAAATGTAAAGTAATAATAAAATTATTTAAAAGAGCAACACGCAAGTTTCTTGCTCGTTCTTCTTGTGATGTGAGACAGCTTTCCGAATGAACGGTAGATTAAAAAATAATGTAATGATTATTCAAAAGTGCTTCAATGTAAGTTTATTTGAATAAATGATTTTCTATTCTATTCTATTCTATGGCAATAAAAGTATACAATAAATTACCTGATATTATAGAAGAATTCGTTTACGATTATAACGTTTTTATAGAAAAACTTTAAATCCATAGCACTGACAATATTATCTGATTACACTAATAATGAGTGCGTAGCGATTTCTATGTTGATTATCGCATGCCTCTTACTTGTTATACTGTAATTATTTATATAAAAAAACATCTATTAAAAAGAGCAACACACAAGTTTCTTGCTCATTCTTCTTGTGATGAATCTGCATTCCGAATGAGTGGTAGAATCAAAATATGACTATTCGAAAGTGCTTGTAATGAGTTTATTTGAATAAAGATTATTTCTATTTCTATTTCTATGTACCTCAAAAAAAATCTAATAGTACCTAATTTCAATACAGAACTAGAAGTGCCATTACGTAGAGTTTAAATTCTTCGAGGCCAATATTCAATAATTGGCTGCGAGGGGCGAAAATTAAGACTTTTTCTGCGTTTGAAGCCACAAAGCGACTGTTCACGACAGAAACAAGGAAGCCTTCTTTATGAGTCTTTAACTCTGACGATTAGACCGGCAAAATTCGATTATGGTTTTCATTTCGGCGGACGATTTTGAGATTACATCTTCGAATAAGCAATTACGTTTACCGTTGAATCTGTCGATTTTTTACAACATCAAGTTTTATTGCTTCCTCGACTGTTCTTTGTTCGGATATAATTGAAAAAGAGTATTTGGACTATCTTTGTTCTATATATATTTAATGGCGATGAAACCTATTCTCTTACTTTAATTAATTTTTAGCTTAAAAAATTAAATAATACATTTTTAGCTTGTAAAGTTTTAATAACTCATGTTAATAAATTCTGTAATAATATGTTGTTGAACAGAAGAATCTTCCGATGCAGAATCTTTTGAAAGCAATACAGCTACATATGGAATATATAAGGATCAAATAGATCGGATTCTAATAAAAGAATAGAAATAGATATAATCTTTATTCAAATAATACTTACACTTTAACTTAAATACAAACACTTTTTAATAGACATATTTTTTTCTACCACTCATTCGGAACGCAGACTCATTAATTTATCTCATTAAAGCTTGTGTTATGAGTACTAGATAGCTGATACATATACATAGATTTTTATTTTGTAAATACATACATATTATACATTACACAAGAAGAATGAGCAAAGAACTTGTGTTGCTATTTTGAATAGATGTTTTTGTTATATAAATAATTGCACAATAACAAGTAAGAGGCATGCGATAATCAACATAGAAACCGCTACGCACTCATTCTTAGTGCAATCAGATAATATTGTCAGCTGTATGTATTTTAAGTTTTTCTACAAACAACATTATTATGGTTAACGAACTAACGTTAATGACTGTGTATTATTGTAAACATGTACATTTATTTGAAAAGAATACGAGCTGAGTTTCTTGTCAGTTCTTCTCATCTCGAAATCGTTCCGATCAGATTTGACATAAAATAATGACAGAATTTTTCATTCTTATAAGTACACTTTTTTACTTTCATCGCTTACGTTAATTTATCTCCTTAGGGGTGGAAATTGTCAAAATCCTTTCTTAGGGGATGCCTACGTCATAGTAGCCTTATGCATGCAAAGTTTCAGCCCGATCAGTTTAAAATTGACAGTTTCATATAAACTTTCATCCCCTATTTTATCCCCTTGTAGGTAGAATTAATCAAAATCTTTCTTAGCGGATGCCTACGTCATAACATCTACCTGCATGCCATATTTCAGCCCGATCCGTCCAGTGATTTGGGTTGTGTGTTGATAGATCACTATGTCAGTCACCTTTGAGTTATATATATTTAGATTTAAATCTTTTTTCAGACAGATTTAGAACAGACTGCACTTAACTGTACCAATAATGATCTAGGTACTACAAATTTATTAGAATCATTGACAAACATATCTGTACAGTTTAGATATATTTAGTAACCCCTATTTAATCAAACGATTTAGGTTATACGTTGACCTAAATACTGTAGTAGCATTAAAGGATTGATCCTTAGAGATCATAATTAAATTGATTTAATTATGATCTCTAACTACAGTAATATAAATTCTAAATTAAAAAAAAACAATTGCATTTTTTTTTAAATAATAGCGGTAGGTTTGCAAAAGACACGACTTAAAAGGCAGTCTAGGTACAACACTATTTGCTAGTTTTCGAATTGCAGAAAGAGAGTTTAAATATTCTTTATTGCATTTAAATACATTTGTATATTAATTACAACTAATGTTAACAAAGGAAGACTTATCTCTATAAGAGATCTCTTCCAGTCAACCCAATACAGCGTGACATAGGAAGTGTTGAGTGGGTCAAAATGTGCGAATAATAATTTAATAAAAATGTCATAAATAATTAAAACTAAACATAAAAATATAATGTCCAAACGAGTTTAAACAAATTAAAACCTTACAACGAAATAGTTGCATATATGAGAATGTTAAATGGAATTATCTGCACTGATATGTTCCCTGGATCTTCTGGCAAACATCTTAATTAACGTACAGCTCCCGACGGAGGTCTCGGGTTGCTGAGCTATAGTATAGGCAGTATTGCGACACTCAAAATATCATAAATAATCATTATTGATACATATTTCAATTATATTAAATAATTCTCAATTCATTATAGTCCAAGTTTATGTTACAATATCTGTACTAATATAGGAATGATTTGACTATTTTCTATTTTTGTAACAGTAATTCAAATATATTTGACAGGTATTAAAAATTATTTCATTGAAAATTATTTTTACGCAAAGTAGCGATGTTAAGGAAAGAAGAGAAACCTACGTTGTCAGTGATTAACATTTACAAGACTTATTTAACAAATTATTACAATAATTATATAGTACAAGTTTAATTTTGGTTAATATTTACATAAGTTATAATAATAATAATAACACACACACACACTGCACTTACTTGGTTTCGGCCCGTAAGTATGGAGAAAACCAGCAAAAGCTGAGAAAAAATAAATAAAGAATAATAATAATCTCAGGATAATTCACACAGCGCCATCTAGACTCAAGTTAAGCTAGCTACAGTTTGTGTTATGGGTACTAGACAACTGATACATATATATGTTTTTTGTAAATACATATATATTATACATAGAGAACACCCATACCGATACAAACAATCATACACATGAACACAAAATGTTTGTACAATGCGAGGAATCGAAGTCGCGACGATCGGATGTAAAGCAGTGTGCTAAACCGCTAGACCACCTAAATTCATACTAAATTTAAGTTATAATTATTGATTTTAAATTGCTCTTAAAAAAATGAAGGGATTATATTAAAAAGGCCTGGCCTCGAAATTTAAATCTTAAGTTAATTTGAATTATAAACGCTAATATGAGCATGGACTATAGTCTGTGGAGAAAAAAAACATTTACAAGTCATCATCATCATTGCCTTGCCTTTATCCCATTATTTGTAGTCAGCGCAGTATGTCATTCTCTTCCACTGCTCTCTATCGGTTGTCATATCTGATACTCTTCTTTTATTCATATCATCTTTCACACAATCCATCCATCTTTTCTTAGGGCGTCCCCTCCTTTTACTGGATGTAAACCACATTCATATTATACACTTTGCTTTTATTTTTATTATATAATATTTAATATTTTTTTCGGACTACTCTAATGCTGTTGGCCGCAGCTGGCCTTTACAGCTTCACCGGACGATAGGGGGCGAGTGCAGATGGTACTCCAAACCCGCGGAAGGACTTATGAAGCGGCTGAAGGCCAACTCCCGCCTGACGGAGACGACTTTAGTCTGGGTGCACCACTAGGGATTCTAACCAATTTTTTTACAAAGGGAAATCCGTCATGGCGATCCCCACGCCCCGGAGGAGGCCTGTGGATACTGCTGGACTTGAATGTTGTTGAATGACATTCAACAACATTCAATAACATCCACTTTCCATAAGACATGATTCTCGTTACTCCACTTGCCCATACAAACTCAATCTGTTACCTCGCAACCTTCCTATAACTTTTTTTTTTTATTTGCATAAAATCCCTCATGGAGACCCGCCCCGGGGTAAGCCCGCGGGTACTGTGAGACTCCTACT